AGTGAGTGCCGTGGCATCAGCCTAGCTCACAGCAACCCAAACTCCTGGCTCAAGCAATCCTGCTGCCTCAGCCTCCCGAGTAGCTGGGACTACAAGGCATGTGCCACCATGCGCGGCTAAATTTTCTATATATATTAGTTGGCCAATAATCTTTCTATTTATAGTAGAGACAGGGTCTCGCTCTTGCTCAGGCTAGTTTTGAACTCTGACCTTGAGCAATCCGCCCCGCTCAGCCTCCCAGAGTGCTAGGATTACAGGCGTGAGCCACTGCGCCTGGCCCTCATACATCAATTTTAAAAGAGAACGTTTCAAAGGGTGGGGTGGGACAAAAAAGAACCTCAGGCTGCAATTACCTTCATCATCCACTAAGCATCTTTGGCTTATTAGTCTAAACGGAGCAGGAACACGCGTCTTTCTATTTCCTCTCTGCTAAACATTCCTCCAATCGTAACAAGGTGGTATTAATAGCTGTTTATAGATGGAGAATTCATAATGCCACAGCAAGTTCGACGTTATATAAAGACTTTTTTCAGGAATTCTACGCCCAATGAGACTTTCTTAAGAGCTGCTGGAATTTTTCAAAGATGGCAAACACCAGAAAGGATTTTCATGCATAAATCACAAAACAACATTAACAGGATCCCAGTATAAGCAGGTCTGGTACGTCCCATCCTCAATGTGGCCTTGTTGGCTCTAAAATAACAGTGGCCTCTTTGGGAATTCCAGTGGTAAAATTAGTTCTCTCTATAAAAAATCTTTCCAGATGGTATTTCCGCCCAGGTCCAATACAGCCCATGGACATTTCCTCTTTCTGCTGTGGATAACTAGAACAGAAATCCAAACTCTTAAAGAATCAAGAATCAAGCGGCCATTCATTTCTTAGGAAACAGAGGAATTTAGTATTCAACACGCCTCAGTTCTCAATGTGTTCCTGTCTGTCCTCCTCGCAGCGTGCCACGGGCGTGGCGGAGGAAGCCGGCGACCGCCGCGAGTTCTCTGCTTCCCAGTGGACGTGCTGAATGGGACAGTGTCACCTGAGCACGGCTGGAACAAACGAGGTGACAACAAGCTGACTTGCTGCACTCTGAGCACAGCCGAGGGTGACATGGAGGTTTGGGGCGCAGAGTCCCTAACCGTGAGAACAACGGCACACGCACATAGTGCCATCCTCTGCCGAGAACTGTCCCCGTATTACTCTTTCACTCCTCAAAGCCTCAGCAGAGGGAGCTCAGGAAACACAGCTTGCTCTCAAGTTCAGGCCCAGGCCCTAGGGCAGGTGAGTGAGCACCCACCTGCGCAGTGCCACAGCCACCCGCGCTGGCTCACCACGGAACTCGCACTGCCCCAAACCTCCTGAAGGAGGGCCCTGGCAGCCGACCCAGAGTTTGCATGTTTGTAACCCATCAGGGAGTCTTATGCGCTGTGAAGTCTGAGACCCACCCCTGTCCCAGACATCACACCCATCAACGAATGCCAGACACCAGGAGGATGCTGCTGTTCTAGAAACCCTGGGACCTGCCACTGTGACTGACACTGTCTCAGTCAGAGACAGAGATGAGAGAGATGAGAGACAGAGAGAGAGATAGAGACTGATTTTGTTTTCCACTCAAATCTGACCAAGAGACCAAAGCTAATCAACATAAATTTCTGGAAACCTGACCAAAATAAAAGCAAACCCAAAGCCCTGAACCCCATGTAGGTTGCTCCCAGGGCTTCAAGCACTCACAGGGGTCAGTAAATATTCCTCTTGGATGGTCCAGAGGTGCCCAAAACAACTGCTTTAAGGCTTTCTTATCTCTTCCCCTTCTGATGTTCCCGTGGCTTCTATTTTTAACCACTGCGGGACCAGCGTCGACTATAGCCGACAGCCCGCAGAGCACGTACAGTACCCAGCGCCGTTACCCAAAAGCTGTGATATGACTTTTCTAATTCTTCATTTATCAAAATAAAATTGTGAACACTTAAAAATAACGTAATGAAAACATATATGTATATGTTACCTATTCTGACTTACATTACAAGTAAAGCTGCCTGTAAAGTAAAACAAGCTTGCAGTGCTTTAAAGCTTTCCTCATCACACAAGAGCAAACTGGACTCGATGTCAGTGCACAGCACACACTACCGTGCGGACTGTGAGTGCCGGCTGTGGGTTCGCGGCCAGTGAGCACCGTACCAACGTGGTTAAAGAAACAGGTCTTCTCTTCTAGACAGGCAACTCGCTGGTTTTATAACAGACAGAGGATTGGCTTCTTCGGAAAAAAACCAAACCCTCCTTCTTTTCAAGTACACGACTGCCTTCCAGGGACGCCAAAGAAACATGAAATTTAGAGAAAGGCAGATTCTGAAGTGGTTCTCGCTAAATATGATTCAAAATTGTATTAAAATTTGTTTTTCAAAGTCATTTAAATTTTATTTGTGTAAATTTTAATTTTGTTGGTAAAAAACCAGGATTACCATTTTCTAATCCACTGCAAAAGCAAATCAAAGTAATTTTTAATAAAACAAAGAGGCAAAGGAGAGGGAAGAGGAGGATAATGACATTTTCAGAGTTCCTGCCACGTAAGAAGCTGGGGTGGACACACCACAGACACGGACCCCCTCGAACTCACAGCGGCCCACAGGGGCAGGTGGAGGACCTCAACCTCCAGATGAGGAAACTGAGGCTTGGGGTCTTCATTCGGACTCTCCTCCAAAGCAAAGTATGGGCCAAGGACTTGGGTACAGAGGTTTATTGGGAAAGTGATCCAAGAAGCCCAAATGAAAAAGTAGGGAAGGTGACAAGACAGACAGAAAGCCGGTGCAAGGTGCAAAGGAGAGGCTGCCGTGTGCAATGGGGACCAATCCCAGGCCTGCCTGCAGATGACGACTGTCCCCCAGAACTGTCCCCACAAGTGGTGAGGAAGCTGGGCACCATCCACCAAGGCCCGGCACTCACTGGTTGACGGCTGCCCCGAAGGTCTGACTCAAAGCCTGCATTCCCGTCACCACCCCTCTCTCAGAGTTTTCCATCAACACGGGCTCCTTTTGCCATCGTGATGCTCCGTACAAATGGGAGACTTGGTCTTTTTTCTCTCATAGCCTTCTATTTCTCACCTACCCACCCTTACTTTCTTCCCCCCAACCCTTCCAAGTGGACAGACTTCCATCTGAATTGTTCACTCACAGGCATTTCACTTTCTTCATAAGCAACACAACTACTTCAAAAAGAACAAACGATCCATGTTTGCAAAGCGTTTGGAAAAGCAGTCTATCATAGCTGTCCTGGTTCCAACCGCAAGCACATCGCTATGGAACAGTGACCCCAAAGGGACAAACAGTAAAACCCAGGGCCCGGGGGGTTGGGGGGCAGTGTGCTGCCTGGGAGAATGTCACCCTGACACAGAACAGTCTTGCCAGAAAAGCAGGACGGGCTCCCGCCTGGCTCGAGGTGAGAACCTGCAGCCGCATGCACCGCGGCCATCCAGGCACCCGCAGGAAGACTAGATGTGCACACACTGTCACCACGTGGCTAACTCAGCTCTCTGGAGGGACTAGGTAAAGTGTAAAGGGTTAGACTGTCTGCATGGCTACCGAGGATGAGCAAAACTGAAAGCTGTCTAATGTATCCAGGACTGTCTCTTTATTCAGTTTCCTTGCAAAAAAGTGGTAAACAAGGTTAACTCCTCTGCTTGATCTTTGCTATTAAAAAATAAAAAGGAAAAAGTAAACATGCCACCCACCCCTTGCTCCTTTCTATAGGAATTCATCCCTGCAAGTACCAAAAGTATTATAGACTCTCCAGTGATTTCTTTTTATGATAAAATACATAGAGATATAACACAGATAGCAAATGTATCCCTCAAGAGTAATGAATCCAACAAATGGACATGTGCATATATTACATGGAATACTCCGGCCCGGAACAGCGGCCCAGGGTGGCTGAATGATGGCCCTAATATAACCAAGTAATTAATTAGTTCCATCATAATTTTTGTTTTATGACACTCGCTTTTATATGCCAATAGGCAATTTAATGGTATTTTAAATTGGAGGAAAACCCCAAGAGGAGAGGAGAAAAGCACTAGATACCTCCCTGAATCACAAATCTTACAATCTGATTTTTTTAATTCCAAAAAATGACCTAATAAACTTCCTTTATAATTAAATCCATCCTCACAACTTCTCTTTTGTGTTTTTCGTTCATTTTTGGTAATCATGCAGAGATTTCAACTGGAAATCCATTATCACCGTAATTAAGTATAAAAATTACTTTGTGCTCTCCCAGGATAAAGACCCCATGCGTGGGCTCCTGTGGAGCTTGACCAGCGTCCCCCAGGGGCACAGAGGGAAACGGCAGGTTTCCAGGATTAGCAGGAGCCTCTAATCCACTTGACTGCAAGATATGAAACATGCACGCATGATACGCTCAGAAATTCAAACTCAAATGATTTCTTCATATGCAAGTCTTACCTTAAGAAAAATACACTGGCATACAATTTTTCATTTTTAGGCCTTCTCAAAGTTTTAAAATTCATGACCTACATTCAAAGTTTGCTGTTTATTGAGAAAGTAGGACTTAATAAAAGAGGTAAAGAAATTAATTGTATCAGCTGTTCTAAGCCCCACAACAGACTACCACAAAATGGCTTTGCCTTAGATGCAACTAAATAAGAAAAATCTTGCAACTCTGGCATTTGTGTAGCCTTTCATCTGCCTTCAATCACAGAGCAACTACCATACTAAATATTGTGGGTTACTTTTAAAGAGTCTGTGATTTTTCTTAAATGTTATTTTGTGCAAAAATAATAATTTTCTATTTTCATGAAAGTGCTATATAATTACCAAAATGCATAGAATTTTGATAAAACCTACTCCAGTTGGCATCTGTGTTCTTCTTCTAATAAATTAGGAAACATTCTTTAAACAGCTTAAGTAATCTGAGTTTGCCAGCAAAATTACAGCCTAAAAATATTGGCTGTCGATACCAGCAGTTAAGAAGGAAGACAGAACAAAAGCCTTACCATTTGCTGTGTTCTTTTTAAAGTTATCCAGGAATTCCTCCAGAAGTTGCGACTGGTTGGGAGGAGGCAGCAGACTCTTCTGGTCGCTGGAGAACAGGTTACTGTCTGACCAGGAAGTACACAGGGTTGCTTTTGTGTCCGGAGGCCGGGCAATGAGAGTGAGTCCAACGCTCTTCTCAGAGAACAGGGCCTCCATCTGCTTCAGGTCAAGATCAGATACGGCTTCCCCATTTAAGGTCATGATTTCATTGCCCTTTCTCAGACCTGAGAACCAGGAAGGGGGAGCAGGAAGATAAAAGACAGAGAGAGATCACTGAGATAAATATTTTGAGATCAAAGAAAGCCGCAAACTCAAACCACAGACTTTTAGGGACTGTTTTGTTTGTTGCTTTCTTCAAAGAAAGCACCAGCAAGGCATGGTGGTGTGTGCCTTTAGTACCAGCCATGCAGGAGGCTAAGACAGTAGGATCCCTTGAGCCCAGGAGTTCGAGGCCAGCCTGGGCAACTTAGTGAAACCCTATCTTAAAAAAAAAAAAAAAAAAAAGCAAGCAAGAAAGCAAGCACCAAAATGTATAGTACTCAGATGCCACTGATAACAAAACAAACTTTAGCTCTATCAAAGCTGATATTAGAAGAAATCGTTTGAAAGAGAAACAATTTTTCTTCTCGTATTCTGATGTTAAATGCCCTGGGAAATAACATTTGTTTTATCTCTGTCTGTCTGTCTCTCACACTCTTTCTCCCTGCATCTGTACATACAAATGTATACTCTCTCTTTTAAACACACACAAAGGCTCTCTCTATATAACAGACATATGCATTTTCAATTTTAAACTCTTAAGTCTACTTTCTTTAAAATTCCAGGAGAAACCATTTTTGACAACACCGTAAGAAGAACATCCCACTAGCCAGACTACATTCCATAGTTTCAAATTAAGGGCGAACAGAGTCGTGGAGTGCCACACAGACCTTCCCCGTATGCCAAGCCGTCGGGGAGAACGTCACTGATGAATATCCGACTGAGACGCTGGCGTTCGTCCACCTGTGCCGTCACTGCAAACCCTAGGAATGAAAACAAAAGGGAAAAAGTCTACATTCATCATACCTGTTAATTTCTCCAACCCATTCAGCAATATTTCCTTGAACATCTATTCTCATAAGTACAGTATGTTGAGAAAGTCTAAATTACAACTATTTTGAAAGCACAAACATCTAGCAGGGCCGGAAAAAGAAAAACATGTCATGTCAGAAGGTTTAAGTACTATAAGAAGAACACAATGTTATTCAAGAGTTGAGGCCATGTGCCCATGTTCACAACAGCCACAAGAGGGGAATAACCCAGGCGCCCATCAGCAGGTGAATGAACAAAATGTGGTCCCTGCGTGCCATGGGATCTTAATCAGCCTTAAAAAGGAAGAAAATTCTGGCACATACTACAACATGCATGAACTGTGAGGACACTGTGCTGAGTGACATAAGCCAGTCACAAAAAGACAAATTACTGTGTGATTCCACTTACGCCTATAGCAGTGACACTCACAGGGACAGGAAGTAGAAGGGTGGCTGACAGGAGCTGGGGGAAGACAGTAGGGGAAGCTAGTGTTTTATGGGTCCAGAATGCAGTTCAACGAGATGAAAAGTTCTAGAGATGGATGGTGGTGATAGTAGCACAACAATGTCAATGTATTAGATGGTGAATGTCACAAGTTACCCACTCAGGTTAGCATCCTGGGCACAGTAAATTCACTGTTGTTATTACTGTCACCATCATTTCAAATTTCACATCAATTGCATATTCATTCCTTTCATTACTTTAGCATTTTTCCTGAATATTGATAGCTATCTTTTTAGCCTGCTAATATCAATAAATGGAAATGAAGGAAGAGAAAAGAAGTTCAGAAACTATATTCATATATTCAGAAAATGTGAACGTAAGGAGAAAAAATGAGGTCCGCACACACTGGGGCAAACTAGGCAAGAACAACACGCTTCTCTGACAAGGGCGTTCCTTAGCTTACCGAAGTCAGACACACTCCCAGTCTTCGTGAGCTGCACGTCATAAACACCGAGTGGAAAGATTTCTATTTCATCGTAAACCTACAAAAGGTAAAAAATGTCAAAATCAAAGGATGTGGTGTTATAATACCTTAAAAAATTATTTTGACACCTTTTTTCATAATAAATCAAGAAGCTGTTAAGATCCCCTTCATATGGAGACAGTTTCCTAACTAGACACCAAATTTAAACAGAATTTTTCTCCAAAGACAAATCTTTAAAACCAAAAAGGCCATGAGTGTGGTTCAGATTTCCCTTTCTGAAGCTGATGCACACTCGCCTGCTCTTGCATATACTCATACGGCGCAGGGACGCAGCGTTCAATGTTGTCATCCACTAATTTCCGAAGTTGTAGGCCATAGTGGCTGGGTTCCAACTGCCTCATCTACAAAGAAAAAGACCGTTATTTAGTGTTTAAATGTTCTTCCTGTATTCATCACTGTTCAGCAAGCTGATTAAAAATCAAAGTAGAAATCTCCAAAAGAATATTACATACAGGCCAGGAGCAATGGCTCACACCTGTAATCCTAGCACTCTGGGAGGCCGAGGCGGGAGTTTGAGACCAGCCTGAACAAGAGGCAAGACCCCGTCTCTATAAAAAACAGAAAAATTAGCCAGGCATGGTGGTGTGTGCCTGTAGTCCCAGCTACTTGGCAGGCTGAGGCAGGAAGATCACTTGATCCCAGGAGTCTGAGGTTGCTGTGAGCTAGGCTGATGCCACTGTACTGTAGCCTGGAAGACAGAGGCTCAAAAAAAAAAATACTATATACAATTTGCTGACTTTAAATCTATTAAAACAGCTCAAATTTAAATACTTGTATGCAAAAAAGAAAAGAGGGGACAAATAATTATTTTTAAGGTTTTCTCTAAATGATATTGCTTATAATCACTAAAGGCAAGAGATGCATCTTAAGAAGTACAATGGAATTATCTAAGAGTAGGTCTGTCACAATCTCAGCAAATGCTGTCTCTTTAATATATTGGCTGTACCTAACTTTGTTTCCCATTATTAAAGTAGAGAAATTTGTAAAATCCAAACAAATCTACAGACTTCAGAATTAAGAAATTCCTATTACAAAAACTTTTCAAAAGGAAAATGTGTACACACATGCACCCACACTCACTCACACACACACACACACACACACACACATAATCTTACCTTCTCTTTCTCTCTCATACACACTTTCAACGTGAGAAATTTATCTCAGGCCTATGCTCCAGCTGGGTCTAACTAACCCACTACTTATGACACCTTCTATCTCTTAGAAAATTTACCAGTTTAATAGCTGATACCACTGGTATAGAACAACACTTTGTTTTCTGAATGAAAGCCTCATATACTGGAGCAAAAGGAAATTAAGTTCATTAGCATATAAGCTACATATAAAAATATATAGTATCCTAAAGCATCAAGTCAAAGTGAAAAAGGATAACTAAAATTAAACATTATCCACATCTATTAAATGTACATGGTTAGGAGTTACCAAACTCTACATGCTTTTTTTCACCATTTCACATATTTATCTTTTCTCTGGAAACTTGAAACTATTACTACTTAAGCTGTACTACGCCACCTGGTGGTCTGAAAGCTCTGATCTGATGTTGCTGGATACATTTCCTCTTGGAGGGCTCCTTTTAAGACTTATCATAAACTTCCTTTTCAGATTGGGAGTAAAACCCAGCTTGAGTAATGAATAAAATATCATCTTATATTAATCTCCATGAAGCCACTGTGAATGCTATCAAGCTACTTGTTCGACCCAGACAAATCTGGTCAAATTATTTAGGATTTTATCAAACTACTTCAAAATTTATGTCACCTTCTTATAGAACACCATCTTTAAATAACTTAAACAACAACAGACTCATCATCATTCTATATTTTAAAAAGTATATACAGAATCTTAGACTAGCTCAGGTTCTTCATGAAGGTGTGGGATCGGGACCTAACAACTCATTCTTCCAAAGGGATGAGGAACAGAAGGCAAATTAATACACATGCTCATAAATATGTGGGTTAATAAATGTGCCAACACGTTCCCTACTGTGGAAAGTGAGGCTGTGAACACCACACAATGTAGAAGGCATCAGGATGCAACATGAATGATAGCTTCTGTTCAGAAGTATATGTCTGCAGCAAAGTCCATTACCTTGCACGCCAAAGTCAGAATATCTTCTACTCTGTGTTCTGGCTTGATCGTGACCGTAACTCCTTGATTATCCTGAAAGTGAATATATGCCAGGCTTTCCCACATGTTGTCTCGGGGACCACCATCCCCTGCTGAACCATATATATGCAGAAGTTCATCGACCTGTTTGCACATGCCAAAAGAAAATGCAGACAGATTTGATAAGCAAACGAAAGGAACTACTGAAAGAATGTCCTCTTCATTTATGGAGTATTTATAGTAAGCTCTTTCACATGCTTCCCATCACTGGCTTCTCGCAACCCTCCAAGGCAGACCATGTTTCCTCACTGGTTTAATGCGGAGGAAACTGAAGCCAGGGGGGCTGAGTGAAAGTCACTCACTCCTGGCCCTGTGTGCTCGTTGTCCCTTGCACTATGTCAGCTTGCAACTAACACCAAGTTAGAACAATGCATTCCACGTAAGGCCACTGAATACGCAATCTCTCTGCTCTGGAACTGCGGTTGAGAAGGGCTACTCTGAAACCTGCACCAAAGCCCCCAATCCCTTTCCGACCTCCCAGGGCATTCCAGACACACTCTCGTCCGTGGCCACTGACACCTGCCTATGTCCCAAGCATGAACTGCAGGTGATCCCAGCACAAGTCGCTCTCTCAATGCTACTGTTCTAAAAAATTAACCCCTAGTCCCAGGGAAATCTTTTCTCTATCCTTCAGCTATTTCACACATAGACACTGTTAGAAAATCATCCCAGAACACCTACAGGAAACCTTTCCCAAATTGCAAACACCTCTGCAATTTGACAGCTTCATGCTAATATGTACTTCTATAATTTATAACAAAAATAGCAAGCATTTCGTAAGCAACTCAGAGACGTTTCTCTCTGGCTAGGTTCCTGTATTAACGGGGGGTGGCAAAGAAGATATTTGGAGATCTGAAATCAAAAGTCACAGTCTCTACCCCTTAACCAGCAAAGCGTGGCCTAGGACAAAACATGTACCTTGCTAGGTCTCAGCTCCTATTCTGTGAAAGGGGGCGTTAATAATATAATTACTTAAGTTAATTAACAATGCAAACTATTGTGAGCAAAAGAGGTCATACATGCTAAAGACCTTACACATTAGAAAATCTTACCTGTAAATTCAAAATGATCACATTATTATATACCACTCAGCATCCCTTACTTACAGTTATCATTGTGGGTGAGTTTACTTTGAATTCCATGAATTTTTAAACACAAAGTGAAAGATCCTCCTATATAGGATTTTAAAACTAGAATAGGACTGGGCGTGGTGGCTCATGCCTGTAATCCTAGCACTCTGGGAGGCCTAGGCAGGAGGATCGCTGGAGGTCAGGAGTTCAAGACCAGCCTGAGCAAGAGACAAACCCCTATCCCCACAAAAAATAGAAAAATTAGCCAGGTGTGGTAGAACACACCTATAGTCCCAGCTACTTGGGAGGCTAAGGCAGGGGATCACTTGAGCCCAGGAGTTTAAGGTTGCAGTGAGCTACGATGATGCCACTGCACTCTGGCCAGGGTGACAGAGTGAGTCTCTATCTCAAAATAAATAAATTAATAAACAAACACTAGAATAGATATACGAATAGCAAATAAATATAAAGGAACAAAAGCAAGGAAAGAAACAATCTTTCTGTGTTGACTCTTTGAAAATGTGATGTTCAACTTCGGAGTGACATTTCGGATCTGTCATGGGTCTGTCACTTTCAGCACATTTTCCTGTTAGGATGATCACAGCCAGAAAAAACAACCCCTCACATGCTAGCTCTAAAGAACAAGAGACAGAGCAGATGCCTGGAGCCAAGGACGCCAGGAACAGGCCTGGGCACCACCCTCTTCAGAGAGGTCCTGTCTCAGGTAGATCACATCTCTCCAAGTGCGTTGGCAACAAACAGGTGCTGCCCTTAAAGCACAGGCCCCACCTGCCAAGCTATGTTTGCCGAGCAGCGCACCCGAGCCCCAGCAGGGGTCGCTGTGGAGTAAGAAACCACACGAGGCGCCCGGCCCACAGCAAGCCCAGCAGGGCCAGCGGCTGAGTCTGCGCTCTTGGAGAACAGGGAAAATGTCCCTGAGGCAGGACAGTGGGAACACGGATTCACAGCTCTGCCATTGTCACCCTCTCGCCCCCACCCTCACCGGCCACTGTGGGGACACTGCACTCCCTGGGGCCAAGTGAAATAAACTCTAGACACGTCAGCTCACTCGCCACTCACAACCAAGTTCTCAGATGGACACCCACCACCATGACCCCTACCTATCTCACAGGTGAAAAAATGAGGCTCAGAAACTTGCCCAAGTTCACACAACTAGTGACTGAGGCACCTTGGGGATTCGAACCCTGGAAGCCTGTGCCAACCACCACTGCACTATTCAAAATGTCAGCCTGGCAGTTGCCTCCCTCCCCGCAAAATAGGCACAACGTTAACGGCCCGATTCTTTCCGTTATGCCGCCGTACACACCATGCTCCAGCTGAACAAAACCACTCACCTGACAGTCCCCAAAACGGAGTGGCACTCCTGCTCTGGACCGTGCTCATCCCACTTCCTCTGCCTGCGGTGACAGCGGCAGTGCTGAGACCACACGTATCCTGCAACCTTACCTACAATGCTGCCCCTTCTCTGCCCCACCACCCCCAACGCCACCCAATGACACGAGTTTACTCTCCTGTGTCCCTGGCACAGCACAGAGCAAAGCCCAGCTCACATCGTGGTCCTTTCTAGGTCCCCTGCCCCCATGATAAGAGGAACAGCAGCAGGGGCTTTGTGTCCCACATTCTCAGTCTCCTTCAGCCCTTAACAGGGAAGGCCCCGAACCCAGAACACACCCAGCACAGGGACACTGAGCTGGACACGACTAGCAATCCCCAGCCATCTGCAGACATGGAAAGCAAACGCTGCGTAAGTTCTTAATACTCCCTAAAGTTTCAAGCAAAGAAATCAACAGAGTGTTCAAGGGGAACAAATCCTGGACAACAGAAAAGTGTGCAGGTAGATGGAAGAACGGAAGGAAGGACAAAAGAATATTCCCCCTGTATTCAATTAAAGGCTGGGCTATGCCTGCTCTGCCCAATCATTTTCTGAGTCTACAGGTTGCTCTGAGATCCAGTAAGCGACAGAAGATGCTTATCGAAGATTCAGACCCTCTCAAGAGACCCCTCGATGAAAATTCTGATGTAATTTTTTCCTGTGTGGAAGGCACATATAACAAACACACATATCCCCCAAACGTATATGATTCAAGAAAGGTAAAACTTTCAAAGGAAGCATCAGGAATGTGGACATGATTAATTAATTCATCAGAACTAGAAAAACGATAAGGCTATTTGTTGCTGACAGATCTCCTGGGGTGTTTTCAGCTTTGCCCACTGGAGAGAGCTGGACAGATGCCCGCCAGACGGGCCAATGCCATCCACGCTGCAAATGCACGAGCTTTGATCTCAGTACATCAGATAAAACATCCTCCTACATTCTTTTCACAAAAGGAAAACAGAATCTTGAAAATAAGCACAAAAAATTGGGCCATCTGAAAACCTCTTTGCTCAGCTTAATGCCCTTTTCAAAGGTGCTCTGTTAGATGAATCCTTTTAACCACGGACCCCAAACTCCACGGTTGGCTACCCGTGTCAGGACTGCGGCAGACAGACCCTGCCTCCTATTCCACTTCCCTATCTTGCTCCCAAAAAAAAAAAAAAAAAAAAAAAAACCTTTCCCAACCAACCTGTTTGAAGTTTCCAGGTCCTGGAGCATAAAAATGGAGGCAGCAAAAATGTAAGAGTAGAAAGACACCCCCGGGTCAAACCCCAGCCTTGTTAGGGCTGGTACCTAACGCCTCTGCCTTCCATTTCTTCACCTTTAATAGGAGTTAGGAACACCAGCCTCACGGGGAGGTTGCGAGACCAATGTGAGGAATGGCACTGGAGAGACAGAAACTGCACAGATCTTCGAGGCCAAGCCTGTACTGTGGCATTACACTGCACTGGCCATAACCCCTGCGACTCAGTGAGAGCCACTATAAAGAATCACCTTGCGGTCCAGCTCTGACCAGCCATCAAGAAAGGGTAACATCACCAAACTGCAGCCACGGCCACCAGGAACTAACCAGATAACGTTCGCCAATCACTTCGGCTCTCCTTGTGGGATAACTTCTACAGAAGCATTTATTATTACTATTACACTAACGGTCCTGAAACCACATGTCACATCACTCATGCTCAGAATGCAGCAAGGAGAGAAAATCGAAACCCCGTGCGTTCTCGCAGCAGATGCTTTTGGATCAAATGGCTCATAATTACTACTTGGATCACTGAAGGGAAGTGACTAGCAAAATCACAATCTGGCTGTCACAAGCGGGCCCACACGACCACAGTGGCTGATAAAAGGAAAGTCTATTAGCAAGGGAGATGAGGAGAAAACACAAAAGGGAGTTGCATGCTCTCGGTTTTCTTAGCGACCGCAGAATGTCACAGAGGAGACAGTGTTTATTTCCTTCTTGGGCTGACGCCCAAATATCAATTGATATGAAAGGAAAACAAAGACCCTGTCTAGCTAGCTGGCTGTGTGTGCCTCTGCGTCTGCTTGCAGGCTAGGAAGGTTCCATACGAATATGCTATTTCAACAGACGACCGTACTGTGGTCAAGAACAAGGTGTTTCACTCGTATTTTCCGTTTAAGAAACCAACATTAAGGTATTTTTGTTTTCAGTTTGGAGCTAATGACTAATGTGACAATACTTCATTCACTCGCTGCCACAGAAAGGCGGGACACCCCAGGCCAATTTTCCAGGGGAGAGGGCCAAGGCCCAGGGGCTGCCATGTTTCTGCAATGAAGCTTCTGGGGTAGCTGCCACCCCTGGCTCTGTTGGGGGGTTGTTGTCACAATCTCCATAACAAACACCTCCCTCCCAAGGCTGTTTGAGACTCATTATTTATTACTCATCAAGAAGTAGCTATGAAAAGCTTTCATTTTTGGCTAGCCAAAGTGTCCCTTAAAAAAAAAAATGCTCCAGTAAGACTGGCTTTATTCCAACCTTAACAGATTTCGAATTGGGGTGACTCACTGTTGGACCGTTACACGACGCACCAATTAGAGTGGAATATTTAAAAACGCGCGCGGCCTCTCCCTCACAACGGCTCCCTGTGTTCCACAGATGGACGTAATGTCCTTACGGTATAAAAATAGAGGGTCTGTGCAAGTTATATTCTCCAAGAATGATTAGCGGAGGAAAATCACTGAAATATTAATTATTCTGCCAGCTCAGGCAGAATTTTAAGTTCCAAAAATATTTTTTAAAAACACAATTTATATCCTTAGTTCTATCTGCCATTCAATTTGAACCTAGTTATCTTGGTACTTCAGCAGGGAAATGACAGATGCCCCGTGAAAACAGTCCTATCAATGAAAGGAATTTCTTCAGTGTCCTTATGTCAGCAATAATGCTTAGTTAAAATAAATGGGAATAACGGTTTAGATTTATAAGCCTTAAAAAAAAAGATGCAGTAAAAAAAAAAAAAATCCACCCCTTAGAGCACTGATTGATAGGACTTGCTGATTAAGTCACAAGAAGATAAATTTAGAAATTTGAGCCCAATACAAATAAAGCACTAAGCGTAATTCTCACCATTAATGGCTATTTTAGCAAAATTTATTTGCAAATTTTGCAACATAAAATCTGTTAACAGACAGGGCTTGGATGATATTTTTTGACCGTCAAAGTCAGAATTTTAAGTTGTTACATAATGCGGGAAGAGATACGACCCTAAATTTTTTAATATTTTTTCTTTATTTTAAATATTTTGAAATACCATTTAGGAAGTTATGTAGAATGTTGATTTTGATGTTTATAATATAAGCCAAATACTGAGTCTTCATTGTCTTCTCAGCAGAGCTACTATTCCACAAAGTTAAATCTGTACTTAATATAATTTTGCCAAGTAAATTTCAGTCTTTTGTATCTCAGTTGTTGATTAGTAACACGTCACAATAGAAAGATGGCAGTGTTATTTCCAGGCAGATTGTTCCTCTAAGTATCTAGACAAGACTGAGTCAGCCTTATGTGTCTAAAGCTGTCAATGTTCCTGTGGTTTCTTTATTTCTTTTTTTTTTCTTTTTATTTCATCATATTACGGGGGTACAAATACTATTAAGGTTACATATATTGCTCTTGCTACCCCCCTTCCCCCGCTGTGTCAGAGCTTCACACGTGATACAACCCTAAATTTATGTGCTTTTATTGGAGATCAAACAGTTCTTTTCAACCATTAAACAACTATATCTGATCCAAATAATTAATCATCAAATTCACTGAGCAAGTACTACATCCCTGGCAGTGTGCTACATGTAGATTGAGAATATTCGGACAACCACAGGGTACATAAGCCATGCAGACCACGGGTCCCAGTCACAAGCCTTCCTGGGAAACCCTACGTACACACCTGACAGGGTGGCCAGCAGTAAAAGACAGTGCACACATAGTAAGAACCAAGCAAATAATGGTGATACAGAAACGACAGAAATCAAGTGACGTTCCCGGAGGACAGTGCAATTTCATCTGGATTCTGAAACAGGCTCTCCATGTGTGTAGAAAGCCACAGAGAAGGGAAATTACTTATTAGGAAAAGTGCCATTTTGATGGTATGATTGATAAAAGGAAGGTTTGGATACAGTTTCCCCCGGGGTTGGTCAAATCTAGCAAAAGGAGAGCAGAAAACGGGCGCAAGTGTAGTGGCCGGGCCTCCCGTGGGAGATGCTCCATCACGTAACCTGCCCTCTGGGGCATCCCTGGGGATGGGGGGTGAAGGGGAACAGGATTTGGAGTGGGGGTTTCTGACCCATTCTGAGCTCGTCCTCTAGGAAGCAGGACACCTCAGGCAGAGCTGCCGCCAGAGAGCAGTTTCAACAGCACACTGAGTGGGCTAGGGGCAAAACACGTGGGTGTCTCTGCTGTATGTTTTAGGGTCTCGCTCCCCTCCCCAGGACCTGCCACGGTGTCTAACACTCCACCGCTCTTAGGTTTTTCAAACTGAATTCCCAATTCACTGAATTATCCCCATTAATTTATGAAAGAGGCCGGGCGCGGTGGCTCATGCCTGTAATCCTGGCACTCTGGGAGGCCGAGGTGGGCGGATTGCTCAAGGTCAGGAGTTCGAAACCAGCCAGAGCAAGAGCGAGACCTGTCTGTACTATAAATAGAAAGAAATTAATTGGCCAACTAATATATATAGAGAGAAAAAATTAGCCGGGCATGGTGGCGCATGCCTGTAGTCCCAGCTACTCGGGAGGCTGAGGCAGTAGAATTGCTTGAGCCCAGGAGTTTGAGGTTGCTGTGAGCTAGGCTGACGCCAGGGCACTCACTCTAGCCTGGGCAACAAAGTAAGACTCTGTCTCAAAAAAAAAAAAAAAAAATTTATGAAAGAATACTGCCTGCTTCTGCAAAGGCATGTTTATGTTTGCCCAAGCCTATTACAGTCCAGTTTTTCAACCTCAACAAACAGCTTAAAGGTTTGTTGGGGTGCAGGGGAATTAAAAGATAAAATGATTTGGTGGAGGAGAAGTTAAACAAATAGATCAGTAGCAGGACACAGCTTCAAGGGGACAGTGTGGGTTTGAGAAAGACACAAGGAAACATGAGCATGTCCGAACCATCTCCGTCACGCCCTGGGACTTCACTGGGAAACAGTTCTGAGGATTTGCTGGGTCGGAAGCAATTCTGGAGACAAGAAAGGGCCGCTGCTACTCGGCTCCACCTGAGGGCACGTGGAGACACACAGGTGGCTGACACTCAGCACAGAACGTGCCACCTGTGTGTGAAGGTCCCTGACAACCCTGACGGGAAAACGCAATTTTGGATCCGCTGAACTCTCAAAGGAGGGTTCGTTCCGCTGAGGAACAGGGCAGGGTAAATGAAAGGTGCTGTTGTGACTTTGGTCTTGCCACGTCGCTGATTTTAAGATGGCATTATCATGAGTTTAGATACCTCCAAAAATACTTGGCTTTCGTGGAGTACACTGAGTTACCCTTCCAGGACCCTTTTAATTCTAAATTTACTCTTAACAGATTGGCGTACAGGTTCTGAACCAGCATTCCCCGCTGAACTCAGTCAGCCCCGGTGTCATCCGCGTACAACGAGAAGGCTGCCGTCTACAGCCATGTTTACCTCGCTGGAGTTACTGGAGATTTGAGGTAGCTGAGTTCCAGAAAATCCAGGGCTGCCACTCGAATCAAGTATCTGACAGACAGGGGGAAAAAGACTAATGAAATGGCTCTGCAATGTAAATTTGCCAGCTACCCTTTCTCAGTACTTAAAAGCTGAAGTTCTGCAACACTTTATAAGATCTTCACATCACAACGTGTACTAGCTACTAATACACTTAAAGTATTCACTTTGAAGTTGTTTTTTTCTTCCCATATAGTTACATATTTTACTTTTCTGTGATGTCATATATTATTTAAGTCATCCTGGATCTTCTTGATGTTGCTTTTAACCAAAAGGTACACATTTCTGAAGATGCAGAACAAAGCTCAAAGTTGAATTGGCAGAGCCACCAAAATCAAGCTCATAACTGTTTTTCTAATGCACATAGACTAAATCTTGGAAGAAAATATAGCTAAATGTTAAAAAGTAGTTGTGTTTGAGCACAGGGACTAAAAATAATTTCCTTTCCTTTTCCAAATTTTATGTTCCAAATTTTATAGCAGAATAACACTAAAGACCATTTAAACAGTTAGGGGTAGCTACTATTCAGTTACATGTATCAACACTATAATTAGTTTCACATCTTTTTAAATTTAAAAAAATGTTCAACCAAATGATTCTGTTCACTAAGAAATCTTATACTGAGAACATTTACCACAAATGCTGGGTAAAGACCATTGTCTCATAACTAATTAGCTGAGTTAGAAAAATAAGAAAGTTACCAAATTATCATTTAATTATATAGAATGGACTGCTCTGATTTAAATGCTGTAAAGACATTGGTTAACTATCACAGAAGTTCAATTCAGAAAGCACAGGCCTAGCCCCGGCCAAGGGTTTGCAGTGCGCCACAATCAATAACGGAGAAATGGATGTCCGTGTGTGACCAACAAAGGATTACGCTTTATAATTAAATTAACAGTACAGCCACAACTTTAAAATCTGATATTCTTTCTGTAATGTGAGTATACAAAAACAGCAGCCACTTAAGAGAGGTTTTGTGTGATCTTGTTGTCTTTCCACCAACCCACTCCTACCACCTCCGCCTTTGCTGCCTCGAGGTTTTAAACAGGTCAAAGAGATACCAGCCCTCCTCTTTACCTAAATTCACAACAGTGTTATACACAACCAAACAAACAGCCACATACAAATCGGAAAATAAAGTTCCAATAAAATTTGTGACTCTCTTTCAGATGATACTGAAAGCATATTCAGAATAACAGCAACTGTTGAAAATAAAAACAAGGACTTCAGATTTAATGACAACTGTTTTTTCCCTATTCATTTATGTGATCAGATCATAATATAACTTATCTTTTCAACAGTCTTTAAAAAAAGAATAATCCTAAAACATATCAATCAGTAAGAAAAAATCCATCATCATGCAAATCATAGGCATCACAAAATACAGGTGCTTCAGATATGGGCATATTCAAATTGTTCTGAAAACAATTCACTGTACTGGGGCCACACTACAGCAATATGTGTTCAGGCTATTTTTTGTAGACCAAATGTTAAAAGAGCTGCCACTGCTCAAGGGAGAATCAGCAGCAGTGGTTGTCCAGCGTTTCAGGGCTTTGGACTCAGGCAGGTACAAGTCCCAGGCCTGTCCTTCATGTGCTAGAGGACAGGGGGAAGTGACTTAACCTCTCCAAGTGTCAGTCTCCTCATCTGTAAAATGGGATGACAAAACACCTACATCCTGTTGTAGGTATCAAGTGAGAAAATTATCTAGCACCAGCAGCAGAATTTAGCTGCCACTACTCTAATGGTTAATCATTTTCCATATGTATTTTAAAATATAAAATCTAGAAGAAAATAAATAGTAGCACTGAAGTCAATGACAAGTGTGGATAATTTTCTGATTATTCTTATTTTCTGTGTTCCTAAGTACTACACAGTGTGTGACTACCTCTTTGGGCATGCTAAGACAGATTGAGCAATTTGGGTATTTTAATTTGGGGGAAAAAAGTCCATGCTATGACTGGATTCCTCTGAACCAACTTTTATTTCTTTCTTAACAGAGGAAGAACATTTATTATTTGCAGCAGGCTGAAAATCAGTAGGAATTTCCCTCTAGTTTGTAGTTCATCCCTTGCCGAGGAGCTCACCTGAGTTATAGAGGGTCTCTTCTCCTTCCCCTTTCTGGCCAGAGTATCCAACCCTTTTAATGAAGAAAATATGCTCCTCTTGTTCCTTCCTCGCTGAGTCAGTGATAGCGTTCTTTTCCGGAGAGCAGAGTCATCTCTAGAACATACCTAATTGAAAACACAGTTTAAAAACATCTCAAAGCTTGTGATTGGAGCGATGGAGAGAATTAACATTTGCCCTAACAGAAGTGAGCTCTGCTTGCTGTAAATGCATTATGACCACTGCCAAAAGCTACTGCATGTCTGACATGCCAGAAATGCACCCACCATATAGATCTCTCTCATCTGGATAACATGAGCCAAGTGACAACACTCAGATCTCCCCATGGTGGCAGCATGGTTGGCAAAATCACCCCTGGACCCCCGAGCTGGGCCAGCGCAATACACAGATGCCACCGAAACAGGAGAGATTTCAGAAAACACAATGGGGCTCTCTGCAGTACTAAGAAATCAATCTTGAATCAAACTTTAGTGCTTCATGCCACTGCTGCTACTCTTCAGGGACCCCACCTTCCTGATGGCACAAGGTGGAGGAGCCAGAAAGGCAGACACAGGTAGGAATCCCCAGTGACTGTCCACTAGCAGGTGGATTCCAGCAATAGTAGAATGTTTCCTCCTGTTTTAAGTATCTAAGCAATAGGGAAACCAGGGACTCTTGACAGCAGGACAGCTCCAGCCCTCCACCCCCAGGCCCCTGGCCTCTGGGTGACCCTGTCACTTATTGGGTCAAGTCCCAGAACAGCTGATGGCCACAAGCTGCAGAAGGGTGAGCCTCATAATCCCCCTGAATGCCGCTGACGCGACCCCCCTCAGGAACTTACCAGAGCGTGGAAAGAAGAAACAGACAAGACGCCCAACCTGCCGAGAGCCAGCTTGGAGGGCCGGCTGGCGGCAGCAAGGAGACTCTTGGGGTTGGGCAGCTCCCCGCCTTGCAGGCTGGCCAGATAGCAGCGCATCCGGAACAGATCCATGTGAAACTTCTCCAGGTTCTGCTCCCACTGCTGGATCTTAAAGCAAGAGCAGAGGGGATTTCAATAAAAACTACACGTTTTCATGGGTCAAAATGAAAATGTGATGGCTTTCACAAACTTAGTGAAAAATTAGGGAAAATGCATTTCAGCTGGTTTTCAGGAGGTTCACACTGGCTTTCCCCGCTCGCCGCGGTCTGGGCTCTCCCACCAAACACACTGGGCCCTCCAGCTCCCCCGCTGCACCTCACCAGCACAGCCCCAAACCGGAGAGAGCTGGTGGTCCCAACACAGGCCGCGGTCTTTGGAGAACTCCAGCACTAAACTATCCTGACTAGAACCAGGCTGTGAATCCTAAATCAGTTTTGTTACACTGTTTTCATTTCTCTTCCCATTTCCAGCCTCTCGTCCTGAACTGGATTAACTGAATTGCACACAAACAGATGCTGGACAAGCACAGGTGATGATTTTATGTTTCTTCTCATGCTGAGAAAATGACTCAAAGCAATAGGAAGTAAATGGATTTGGGGGATAAGGACAAATAGAGCTCTTCCTCCTATTTTAAGTATCTTGGAGAATAACCACCATCAGCACATCTGAACAAAATCGAAGTGTACACAGCTATCTACCCAACACAGGTTCCCACTAACCTGTCCTCCTTCAAGACTGAAGCCATGAGTTGGTGAAGAAACACAGGCAAACTGGGGCAGCCGCCCTCCTTTCTTTCAAGGATGTCAAAGCACGTTACAGACAAGTATGACCTTCACTTAAAGATAAATTAACAGGTGAAGAAAGGGTACTTGTGACTTGCCAGTAAGAGAATGGAGCGGACGAACAGAACGCCGTGATTCAAAAGGTCTCGGAAGCAATCTCAAAGTTCAAGAGAAGGTCTGCAGAGAAGGCGTGTGGCAAAGAACGCAGCACAGAGTCACGTCACTCCGTTCACGGCAACTGCATCTCTAGCTCTGCCACGTTGCTGGGCGCCCAAGCAGACACTAACCTTTCACACCAAACTTCCCAGGCTAACCCTCAACTCTGGATAAATGGTATTTTGAAGGATTTCCAACACTGAACGCTACCGTCCCCCCTTCAGTCTCTCTCCACACACAGCATTACAGATTCTGGGTATTCTCCTGACCAACCCCCCAAGTCCTCCATATTTATTTCTTAGGAAGGTCACTATGTAACTTTTCTGCATGAAAGAAAAATGACAGCTACAAGATCTAAACAAAGAACGTATTAATTCATCATCTGTCAGCAAAACAGTGAAGTCTCAGAGGGCACCGAAGTAATCTCAACGTGCATAATGAATGTAACCTCCTTTGAGATTCTGTGCACCCCTTGCTAGCAAAGTAGTAGCCTGCTGGTGTCAGCCTTGAATGAACAGATGATTTGCAGGTGCCCAGGTCCTGCGCCTGAAGATTCTTCTATCCATTAGGTGTGAGGCCCAGGAAAGTTGACATTTCAAAAGCACCTCCTGGGATCTGTGTGCACTGCTGTTCTAGACCAATGAGACAGTTCAAACTAAAACTGCCAGTCTCCTCTTAGTCTTGTCATACTAGAGAATTCTAGATTCCAGGAGTGATGAATGGATATAAACTGACACTTGCGAGAAGCCGTAGGCATAGCAAAAATAAACTCTAGTTCTGTCTCCCAAATATCTTCCTTTCTAGATGACTCCTGAAAATCCACACTTAGAGATGCATTCCTTTGTCCTCGAATAATGTGTAGATATTTCTAGAGTGGATAACGTATTAAAGCCTACCACACTCATTTATACCTCAGTGTGAATCGGGTTATGAGATATCTTCCAGGGGTTCTACAGGGGTGGAGACAGGAGAGGGAAAGAAAATGAATGAGTCACTGGATACCAGAGGTAAAGATTAAAAAGTTGGTAGATTATAAAGACAAAAAAATAAAATCCAGGTCTATGCCAATCACCATAGATCACGGAAGAGGACCACCTCTTGTACTTACACTGAATCCTACAATTTACATTTAAAAGCACCATTTAATCTATTTAATGTATTCAAAGCACCACTGGTAAGTAAAGACAGTTCCAGCCCAAACAAGTACACAGGAAATCTTAAAATCTTGTCAGAAACATTCTGCTAATCGTCAGCACCCAAACCCTGGGAAAAAATGCAGGTGAATGCATAGAAGAACATGGACCACAGGCTTAGGTTTGTTGGAGGGACAAAGGGGCTGGGTGACCCCAACAGCCCAAAGGAGGCCTTATGAAAATCAAGAGGTTTGCTAACATACCTGATTAAGTTTCTAGAGAACTAGTATCTCAATTGACTGTGTACATTGTAGAGGTCATTTAAAATTTAATTTAGTAGAAAATGCAAAGGAAAATTAGCCTTATGACTCCTTTATTTCAACAATGCTCCTTATCCTTATCCTGATGTGAGGCGTTGTGATGGTTAATTTCAGATGTCAACCTGACCGGGCCACCGGGCCCCTATATTTAGTCAAATGTTATTCTGGGTGTGTCCGTGAGGATATTTTTGGATGAGATTAACATTTAAATGGGTAGACTGAGTAAAGCAGATGGCCCTCCCTAAGGTGTACGGGCCTCATGCAAGCGGCTGAAGGCCTGAACAAAAAGGCTGCCCACTCTCAAGCCACACACACACACACACACACACACACACACACACACACACACACATCCTGTTGGTTCTGTTTCTCTGGAGACCCCTGACTAGTACAGCTGTCACCCCGGCAGGTCTGTGTGGCAGAATAAGCTGTCATTAGTCATCCATCCATTCAATATTTAAGGACAATGTTTATCTTGCTTTTAAGGTCATGGTTCTTTATAAAAAATCAGTCACAGAGCTTAAACGAAGATTTGTGGTTGGATAAGAAACAATGAAATATTTGATTTTTCTTTCCACAGACTCACCTAAGCTTCAGAGAGGGACGTGGAAGATTATGCAGGAGAAAGTATGGTGAGGACGTGGATTTTGATGCTTGGGTTTTCTTAGAAGGAAACAGGAGGCAGAAGAGCTGAATCCATGAGCTCAAAACAGACTCTGTAATACTTAGAAAGTCCGCCAACATATGCAATGAACTGGCAAGGGAGTTGGTACTGCCACACCTCAGCAGAGACTGAGGCCCAGAAGGGAAGTGACTTGACCAGGGTCTTAAAAAGCTTGTCCTTCCAGACGAACAAAGACCCAAAGCTGATACCGATGTGAATACTAGGTGGGACAAGCACACTGTCAAGTGCCTATAATGTGGCCCTTGAATCCCACGTCTTCTGACTCTTAAGGCAGATATCTGTGTGCTACCCAAAACCTACCTCAACAACAACCATTTCAATTTTCACCTAATTGTCAACTTTATTTCTCCCTTGAAATCCCCCAGTTACTCTACAGAAGAGGCAAGACTACCCACACTCTCATTAGGTGCCCTATTCATACTGAACATTTTGCATTTTACTTTCCCACCAGCCTTGACATTCAAATTCATCCCCAAATTGAAGTAATGTTAATTAAAAGGAAAAACATGTTTTATAAAAATCCCTCAGAAGGTGAGATAAAAAAGGAGAGAAACATACATTTCTTAAAGTGTCAAGGGAGAAATAAAATTTTTAGCTCTTAAATATGCGATCTCAGTAAATTTCAATAATAACGATCACTAAAATTGTACTGTTACCTGACAGCACATTTATCAAGGAGTTGTTTTTCCAACATTATCAGAAACTAAAATGCCCCAAATCAATTCCATTAAACCAAGACTGCCCACTCCCTTTCTAAAAATCTTTAAATATTGACATTTGTTCCTAGATGTTTCTTTATTTTTAAAGATAAATACCATGACCTCATAATAAAAACTCAACTTCTACATAGAATATAGATTGAGATTTTATTTCTTTTAATGTCCAAGCACAAAACATAAAAATGACATAAATGAAAAAAACTCATTCTAAGGAAGTTTTCATTATCTTTCATCAAAAAAATGAAAAATTATGAACAACAAAATTACAGGGGGAAATTCCCATAAGCACCGACACAAATTCAATATAAAAGTTTCTCTTTTATTGCTAATATAACTATATTGATTTAATGAGCTCATAAAGGTTATGGTCTCCTGTAGAAAAGTGGGAGGGGAGGAGATGAAGCCTTATGCTAAAAATAGCAAATGAACAAGCAATGCATTAAAAAAGATGACAAGTACATTCCTGCCACACCCAACACTCTTAGAAAAATATTTTCTACCATTTAGTCATTTAATCAGAGTATTTAGTCATTTGTCCATTATTAGATTTGCCCTAAAAGATAATTAGTTTTTTCCTTTTGGTGTAAGAAGCTGAAAAACTCCCACTCCATACTTCCCAAACACTATCTTACAGCCCACCTTCATAGAAGAACCAGCTAGTGAGACAAATTACACTAAAGTTAACTAATAGAACAACCAGCTAAAGTTTATAGAGTCAGCTTTGTTTTCCTTTGAGATACAATTCACACACCATAAAATTCACTCCGTTTTATAATAAATATGGTTCCTAACAAATTGAATTGAAAAAAATCTAAGTTATGAAAACAAATAAATTGAGGATTATTTTCTATTTTACACAAAACGATCCAGCACATGGCTTAGTTAGCAAGCAAAGCATCGTCTGGTGTACCCAAGTCTCACTGAGAGGCAGCAGAGCGTATTAGCTAGGGTCTGCGGACTCATGCAGTGTGTGGGTGCTACACCCCCCCCCATGAGGAGCTGTTAGGAAACCTCATATGCTCCTGGCCTGAGACAGGAGCTCTGATACGTAAAACAGGCAGGGGGGCCATGAGGATGGAGCGAGGCAGGAGAGGGGCTGCATCTGGAGGGGGGAAGGTGAAGAGGAAAGGTCCGAGGGAAGGGAACTCACTTCCTGCAGTAAATATGAAAGGGTCCTCTGACATGCAACAGACAGAAAGGTGATGGTTTCTCTGGGAGCTCATAGGCTATAGTAGGAGCATAACACACAGCAATGAGAGCAGTGATGGAGATGACACTGAGAATTTCGGGAGGAGAGAAGGGGTCCCTGATGG